TTGGCACTCATACCACATCTTCTTAAATCTATTCAAACAGTAACTGCGCAATACATTCCCAGAAATTTTTCAATCCTTGCACATAAAATAACACCTTTTTCTATTGAAAATAAATATTCTTTATTGCAAGCCATGATGTCGTCTTAAGTTAGACCACAAACTTATCAACCTTTAGTATATATGTAAAGACTTGAATAAAAGGTCGCCACACATTAATTGTGATGGACACATCGAACTTTTAAACGCAGGTCCAACCCATATTTTTTTAATCTTGCAAATCTTAAATTCCTTCTCATCTCTCTTCTTTTCCTACAAGAAAGGTCACTAGATACATACCGGTATACACATTTAAAAACATGTTAAATTGATAAAGCTCAATCATTTCCAGCAGCAAATATTACAGTCATATTCCACATAGATGTACATACTTATATGATGCGGGAAAATTGTTATAGTCAAATTAAAATTCTAGTAAATAGTTGCTTTCTTAACAAAACAATGATATATGTAGGAAAAATAATTCGTTTATTGATTTTTGGGGTTTAATGCCACTTTCAGCACTATTGGCTATTTCATTTCGGCCAGTTTTTATTAGTGGAGGAAGCTAGCGTGACCAGCGGGAACCATTTGACTTTAGGAAGAAAAACTCGCAATCCTAGTCAATTAGAATTAGAGTCGAAAGCTCTTGCCACGTACGGGGTTCGAACTCTGAAATAAGCAATGAAGCAATAATTTTACTACTGAAAGAAACCTACTTTCGCTGTATACAGTTTTCGTTCGATATATAGTTTTGTTTTTTACTATGTAAATTGAAGTTACCAAGAGATTTTAAAAGACGCGTACAAACAACCAAACAAATGGTGGCATCAGCCATGTGCACAGTTGATTCATATATATATTTTTGTCACTGGGATGCTGTCCCATTTAGGGAAACTCGCATATCTCTTTTTACCTTCAGACGTGCACATGTCTTTTAGTTATTTCTGTCACTAGATTGCTGTCTCATTGACGTTAACTGCACATTTTCTTTTTGATGCATGCACACATATATACTTTCAAACATGCAGTTGAGGTTTTATTTCACGCACACTTAAGTGAAAAAAGCACAAGAGAAGATCAAAGAAGAAAATAGAAAAAGAAAAAAATGATCTAACATTTAAAAATAACCTGTTTGGTCGCTCGTAATCGGTTGTCCATAAATATAGTTCCTGTAATTTTGATGTTTGTACACTATAATTGCTGTGTCTTTTCCAACAAAATATTTGGCTTGAAATTATTAGTTGTGTTTTTTTCTTTTAAAGTGAATTATGTGAAGTATATCATCTTTTATTTTTTAATATTTGCAGATGGAATTGTGGGACTATGTGTTAAATTTGTATGAAGGGCAACTCTGTCTATTTAAACAGCGAAAAAGAAAATCGTAGGTTAAAAGTGTGACTTTTCACATGTGCCTTATGACTTCATTTCAGGTCTAAGCAGTTCAGAATAACACACGATAATATGTCAAGATGTGCTTCAGAATTTCAACTTTTGTTTCATTTTGTTAACTGTAAAGGTAAAAAAAAATGTCTTCACTGGGAACTTAAGAGCTGAAACCTGCAGACTTAAGGTTAGCGGGGACGTCACTCTATATGTATTTGTGGCATTTTTTGCACGTAGGATCTTTACAGACACTGTCAGTGTATCAAGTTTCTGCTTCCAAAAGACTTTTCTACTTAATTACTGAAAGATGCATTCAAACAGTGACTGCGCAATACATTCCCTGAAATTTTGCAATCCTTGCACATAAAATAAGACCTTTTTCGATTGAAAATAAATATTCTTTATTGCAAGGTGTCGTCTCAAGTTAGAACACGAACCTGTTAACTTTTAAAAAGTAAAGACTTAAATAAAAGGTCGCCACACATTTATTGTGATGGACACATCGACCTTTTAAACACAGGTCCAACCCATATTGTTTTAACCTTGCAAATCTTAAATTCCTTCTCATCTCTCTTCTTTTCCTACAAAAAAGGTCACTAGAAACATACCGGTATACACACATTTAAAAACACTTAGTCATTTTTGTCGCTAGGTTGCTGTCTAATTGACGTTTACTGCACATTTTCTTTTTGATGCACACATATATACTTTCAAACATGCAGTTCAGGTTTTATTTCATGCACACTTGAGTGAAAAAAGCACAAGACAAGATCAAAGAAGAAAATAGAAAAAGGAAAAAATGATCTAACATTCAAAAATGACCTGTTTGGTCGCTGGTAATCGGTTGTCCATAAATATAGTTCCTGTCATTTTGATGTTTGTACACTATAATTGCTGTGTCTTTTTCAACACAATATTTGGCTTGAAATAATAAGTTGTGTTTTTTTCTTTTAAAGTGAATTATGTGAAGTATATCATCTTAATTTTTTAATTTGAAGATGGAATTATGGGACTATGTGTCAAATTTGTATGAAGGGCAACGCTGTCTATATAAACAGCAAAACAGAAAATCGTAGGTTAAAATGTGACTTTTCACTTGTGACTTATGACTTCATTTCAGGTCTAAGCAGAATAACACACGAGAATATGTCAAGATGTGCTTCAGAATTTCAACTTTTGTTTCATTTTGTTAACTGTGAGGGTAAAAAAAATGTCTTCACTGGGAACTCCAGAGCTGAAACCTGCAGACTTAAGGTTAGCGGGGACGTTACTCTGTAGGTATTTGTGTCATTTTTTGCACGTAGGATCTTAACAGACACTGTCAGTGTATCAAGTTTCTGTTTCCCAAAGACGTGTCTTCTTAGATACCGAAAGATGCATTCAAACAGTGACTGCGCAATACATTCCCAGAAATTTTGCAATCCTTGCACATAAAATAACACCTTTTTCTATTGAAAATAAATATTCTTTATTGCAAGGTGTCGTCTTAAGTTAGAACACGAACTTGTTAACTTTTATAAAGTAAGACATGTGTTAAAGACTTAAATAAAAGGTCGCCACACATTAATTGTGATGGACACATCGACTTTTAAAACGCAAGTCCAACCCATATTGTTTTAACCTTGCAAATCTTAAATTCCTTCTCATCTCTCTTCTTTTCCTACAAAAAAGGTCACTAGAAACATACCGGTATACACACTTTTAAAACATGTTAAATTGATAAAGCTCAAACATTTCCAGCAGCAAATATTACAGTCATATTCCACATACATGTACATTGTTATATGATGTAGGAAAATTGTTATAGTCAAATTAAAATTCTAGTAAAAATTTTCTTTCTTAACAAAACTATGATAAATATATGTAGGAAACGTCTGAAAAAGACAATGATTCATTTATTGATATTTGGTGTTAAATGCCACTTTCAGCACTATTGGCTATTTCATGGCGGCCAGTTTTTTATTAGTGGAGGACGTCAGCGTGACCGGAGAGAACCATTTGACTTTAGGAAGAAAAACTGGCAATAGTAGTCAATTAGAATTAGAGCCGAAAGCTCTTGCCACGTACGGGGTTCGAACTCTGAAATAAGCATTGAAGCAATAATTTTACTAATGAAAGAAACCTACTTTCGCTGTATACATGCAGTTTTCGTTCGAGATATGGTTTGATTTTTTTTTAAAAAGACGCGTAGAAACAACCAAACAAATGGTGGCATCAGTCATGTGTACAGTTCATTCATATATATAGTTTTGTCATTGGGATGATGTTTCATTTAGGGAAACTCGCATATCTCTTTTAACCGTCAGACGTGCACATGTCTTTTAGTTATTTTTGTCGCTAGGTTGCTGTCTCATTGACGTTTACCGCACATTTTCTTTTTGATACACACATATATATACTTTCAAACATGCAGTTAAGGTTTTATTTCATGCACACTAAAGTGAAAAAAGCACAAGAGAAGATCAAAGAAGAAAATAGAAAAAAGAAAAAAATGATATAATTTTTAGAAATGACCTGTTAGGTCGCTCGAAATCGGTTGTCCATAAATATAGATCCTGTCATTTTGATGTTTGTAAACTATAATTGCTGTGTCTTTATATAAAAAAAAAAATTGGCTAAAATCATTAGTTGTGTACACAGTTGATTGCATGTACTCTTTTAAACAATTAATTCTAAACACTGCATTGATTGAATTAATATTACGGGACAATTACTAAACTGAATACAGCATTCACAAATTAACTGTTTTTTTTTTTTACATAAATGAGAACCATAGTTTAGACAATTTTTATTTCATTATATAAAAGAATTGTTCATAAAACTGTTACCATATTTATTTCCTCTTTACTCAAAAAGAAAAATGAAATGGTGATCCAGTTTGTTTTTATTGTTTTCATATTGTTCACATAATTAATCATAATCATGCTTTCCATTAATTACTTATAAAATATGGTAATCTTGCGCAAACTGTGGCTTTAAAAAGTAGAAATTAACACTTGACGACTGATACTTTTTACCTTGATTTTAGAAAAAAGCAAAATGCATTTAACAAAGAAGAAAATTCTATTATTATTTTCGTTTTTTGTAAGGGTAGTGTTATTTGGTTGCTGTCTTTATGACGTATACTGAAAATAGCTTGATGAAATATAATTGTATAATCAACCCTGATGCTTTTAGTGTAAATATGGTGATGGTTTTTTTTATGGTGAAGGATTTATTGTACATATAGATGACAGATACATAACTACTCATTTGAGGTTGTCCCGACGTGGACGAAAGAAGAATTCCAGAAGAAGTATATAATTACGTTATTTGTTCAAGTTAAAAATAATTACAAGGAGAAGCACTACAAATAGGTATAAAGTCTATAATTACGTCTTCAAGTTACATCTATATCTATCCACATAGATTGTGGATTTCTTAACGCTTTTGTTTTGTGGAGATTTTAAAACACAATCCGAAGTTAGTTATGAATGGTTCGTAATACTAATCTGTTAATTTTAAACTGAATACAAAAGCTTCTTAGTATTATTAAAATACCATAAACCTTACACTATTCTTCAGCTAAATATTTTGAAATGGGTGTTCTTTTTGAACCTGCTAAAATTATACCTATGTCCGGTAAGGATTGTTTAAAATTTTCTAACTCATATGTATTCTAATTTTAGCTTGACAATTAAGCAAAACTCATTTACAACTATTTTTATTATTATAATCTTAGAATTATCTTATTTTCTGAAATAGACCTTCCTTAAACTTTAATTAGAATATTATGAAACTACATTAATTTTGTACAAGTAGAGTCGATCCGGGTAACTTCGTAAAGTCCGATAATTACTGTACATATTGATTTTCGGTTATTTTTATAATAAACATGATAAATAAAGTGTGTTTTGGTATTATTCATAGATAATGAAATATTTATGTCCTTAATTATTTCTTAAGTTTTTACTTTCAAATGGTCATAGAATATATATGTATTCACGATTGGTCGGAAAGTTTTGTTCGCGTTCTGGCTTTTGATTAAGTAGATTCAAATGTATCTCAATATACAAATAAGGGGTTCATATCCAAAAGATGTATAACGCTAAAGCTTGGACTGGTGCAAATTAGCCATTAATTGGATATCTATATACTTTATAGTTAGATACACCAATGTTTATAAGTTTCAGCATTGTTAAAAATATCAAAGGTTGTATAAATGTTTGTAGTGCCATGACTATTTTACAGCACCATATACAGAAGCTAGTGAAGGTTCCATGACAGTTCACAACAATACAAAACATGATATTAAAATCAAGGTGAAGGTCACCGAGTCACTACTCTTTGCTGCCAAACCAAATATAGCTTTAGTCAACGCTGGCTGTGTTCAGATCATTATATGTAAGTATATGAAAATAAAAAGATGTGGTATAACTGCCAATGAGACAACTACCCACAAGAGACCAAATGACACAGAAATTAACAACTATAGGTCACCGTACGGCCTTCAACAATGAGCAAAGCCCATACCGCATAGTCAGCTATAAAAGGCCCCGAAATGACAAATCTAAAACAATTCAACGTGAGAACTAACGGCCTGATTTATGTACAAAATAATAAACGAAAAACAAATATGATATACAGAAACAAACGACAACCACTGAATTACAGGCTCCTGACTTGGGACAGGCACATACAGAATGTGCGGGGTTAAACTAGTTTGAATGCATATATATATATATATATATATAGAAATAAGAAGATGTGTTATAACTGCCAATAAGACAACTCTCCACCAGAGACAGAATGACATTGAAGTTAACAACTATGAATATTTCCAAAGGATAAAAACCAATGAGACAGTAATCTAACGACGCAAACAGAAAACAAAGGACATTTAAGGTTCAACATACACGAACTAACAACATGACTTAGGAACCACACATCCTGGAATTAAGTATTAAGATGAGTTTTCCTTATGTATCTATCTAAAAGTATAGCTTATCATAATATTTTTATAGTTCACAAAATAAAATTTAGCTATGATAGATATTTGTTTTAACAAGAATGTATTAGCTTTGAATTTAAACCTTAATACTCCTATTTAGCAACCCCAAAGGTAACTTGGGAATAGAAATATGGTAACTTAGGCCTTCTTCCGACCGACAGTAAAACCCTTGCCGTTCGTTTGGCTGTGCGGGATGTATATGTTACCAGCCACATCGGGTCAGAATGGGGACGTTAAATCCGATGCCTCGTGTAGAGAGAGTGCCACGCTCTTTGCGCATTAAGAGCCCTTACAACAACTCTGTGAGAGGTCCGTAGGTGGCCTGTTGCAAGACAACATTTCTGTCCCTATCTAATATAACCTTATTTTCCACAGGCATTCCAAATTTCCCCGACCTTCATCTCGGACGGCCATTATCGTAAAACCTACTGATTGTATTTATTTTTAATATGTTCTCGTCTAACCCGAATATTTCAGTCGTTATATTCGACTGCTCTATGGTGGCTACATTAACGCCTGAAGGCCTTGTCAATAAAAAATCGTCAAATAATCATTCGGAATTAGCTCGGGATTTACCTATCGCGATAACATTGAGCTATTAGCTGATTGGCTCTCTCTCACAGAGAGCACCAATCAAAATCCTGGATTCGTGACGCGTTTTTATTGTATAAAGAATTCAGGCCCTCGCGAGTGGGAGAGTCGATCACGGGGAGGGACTGAATTATTGGGGTTAGTTCTCGTCCCGAACATGCATGAAATATTTGTCAATGGACGTTAAGCAACCAACAATCAATCAATCAATTCAATCTAGCAGCCGCTGGACGTTAATCACGCAACAATAATTCAATCTTATCTAGCAATTATGATTTTCCTATATCTGTCATATCATATGATGTACATTGTATAATAGATTTTTTTCCATCGTAACTTTAATTACACTGAAAGATTACGCCAATTTATATTTTAATAATTACAATACTTGAAACAATCAATCTAATTTAAGTACAGATCCTGTGTTAAAGTTTTGCGTACACGGATTGGTCATTGTTGGACACGTGATCTGTATTTTAATCAGATTGTGAAACAATGAAATAGTATGCACTTTTTTGTTAATAGAAATTTTAAATATTTTTATTTATTATTCATAATTCATATCAATTTGATAAAAAGTACAACTCATCATTTCATATTCCTTTTAGTCAGATATAGACCACCTCTGATTGACTTTCCCATCAAACCAAAGTCACAGATACAATATATAGAACTTAATGGTATATCAGACAGCGATGATATTGTAAGTTTTCACAAATTAGTTTGTGTGTTTTCTTTTTCTTTTCTTTTCATTGTTCCTTGTCGTAGTTATCCTTGGTTTGAACAGGTTCGTGGAAAATCATTTTTTTAGATAAAAAGTTAATCCCATTTAGTACATTAAGTTATGGATACTGTGATATTGTCAAATTAATCAATTGAAGATAAAATGTGCCTCTTGTCTGAAGCTCATTGGATCGTTTTATTCATTTAAAGGTCCATTTTAAAATGAAAGTTTTGCAACACTTCCATTGAGATTACAATGTAATTGGGGTCAAACTTTGAAGGCTCAAGTCTTTGTAGAAAAATTGCTCAAAAGGAACTGAAATGAACAGCATTCCTGTTTTTAAGGATGTTGAATTGATAAAAGAAGAAAACTGAAAACTTATGTTAAAAAATTGGGGAAGGGTAAAAAAGTACTCCTCCCAATTTTTCTTGTTTTTGAGGGAAAAAAAAACGTTAGTTTCTGTTTATATGTAATCAATTATTTTGTAAGTTGCATGCTATTTATTTTAAATAGACCATGTTAAAAAAATGATAAAATTGCGACTTTCAATTTTGACCCCTTCCCTCAAAGCTTGCAAACAATGTAGCTCTGGGAAATTTGACCAACATGACTCTAGTACATGTACTTTTGAATACACAAATGATTGAAAAATAAAAAAACACGTACTTTAATAATAAATCGAGATTTTGTTTTACTTTATTTTCAGTCAAAAGTTGTTTTGCTAAACTTTTTTGGATTAGTATATATCCTTTTACGGTACTCAGATGCAGCTTAACGATTTTTAAATGCGTACAAAGTTTCATAACAAACAGATAACAACAACAGATACATGTCTCGTGTTTATCTGCATGAATAAAAATACATTCCAAAATTAAGGGCTGATTCGGTTGCTTAGTAACCAAATCAATTAGAAATAACAATGCATCGAACCAAGGCGTGTTCTGTAGTATTCGTTACGATATCTTTGTAGTTCGAGGACCATACCGATAAAATACAACAAAAGAACTTCAGAATGGCATTTCCTGAATCCGAACAGAAGTACACCAATGTCGACAAGGTATCATAATTTTATTATCAAGAATAATTTTTTTAAAGATATTAAGAATAATGGAACTAAATTTCTTCAATATTGTTGTAAATGAAGTAAAACATTACATCAATTGTGTGATCTATTTTTAGCAGAGTACATTTGTGCAACTATGCAACATTATCTATATAAAGATACGTGGATTTAATAAGCATCCAACGACAGCTTTGACTATTATAACAATACAACATAAACATTTACTACTATGCAATAGTATCTGTATATAGAGATGGGGATTGATCAGCCAATAACAGCTTTCACTTAAACGATATAGCATAGGCATCAACTGCTATGCATTAGTATCTATATAAAGAGACGTTGATTTAATAAGCATTCAAAATCAGCTTTTACTATAACAATATAACAAAATAACATAAGCATCCACTAATATGCAACAATATCTATATAATTTTTATAAAAGATGTGGATTTACCAGCCAACAGCAACTTTCACGAAAACATTTACATATTGAGATCGTTAGGTCATCTTGGTTTTAAAGATTTAATCAAAAGTAATCAGGTCATCTTGGTTTTAAAGATTTAATCAAAAGTAACCAATAAAAAAAATAAGGAGATATGGTATAATTGCCAATGAGACAACTATCCATCAGAGTTCAAATGAAGAGGATAGAAGCCATTATAGGCCACCATACAGCCTTCAACTACGAGAAAGTCCCATACCATATATTCGGCTATAAAAGGCCCGACATGAAGAATGCGAAACAAGAAAACAAGAAAACTAACGACCTAATTCATAACAAAACAATTTTCAATAAAAGAGGCCGAAGGTCAAAGTATATTTGTATATCACACTGTGTACCACACTAAAAGATTTTAAAATAATAGAGGAAAGATTCCAAGGGGACATTCAAAACACACTAGTCGAAGAAAAACTGACTACTCTGGTAAAAAGCCAAAAATAAGTCCACAAAACACTTTACTGGAAACTGAAGATTGAGTCCCATCAAATCCGGGGGTTAATTCCGGTGCTCCAAATTAGTCATTGGATTGCTGTCTCACTGACTTATCTAACTTTTCCCTTTAATCACTATAATAAATTGATACGCCAAGCAACTTTCCTCGAATAGAAACAGTAGGTAAGCCAAATCAGCAATAAAGCTAAATATCATTCAAAACCAAAAAGGTTCCAAAAAGTTGTGACACATTTATGTCTGATTGGTAGTACAATGAATTCAAAATGCAATAAAGATCCAATGAATAGCTCATGATGTATTACAATGACATTGATTTAAACTAGGTTTTGCCTTTTGCAGGTAATCAACAATACTTGAGGATCCAGGTATTGCAGAGTATTCCTTTATTCTGCAGACATTGAATCGGTATTTAAAGTTTGACTACTTGTTGGCAAATTTGGTCTATACTGTACACTATAGGTCTACAACACTGTTATACAGATTGACAGAATTGAAACTGTTTCAGTGTTCATCGAAGCTTTCATTACAATGTCATGTATGTGTAACGCAAATAAAAGCAGCAAACGTGTGTTCTTATTTATGCTTTCTGATTATTTGTATTGTTTAAAAGTTTTAGCAATGAAAAAAGAGTTCATTTAATATATTCGATAACCATATTAAAGTTTTGATTACAGTTTAGATATCAATAGGTATCGTAGTAGCCTCTGAAAGTTCGAATTATTATTATCACTATGATCATAAGTGAATTGACATAGCTTTTCATTTCTGGGGTTCTTATTATTCTGTCTTTTGTTATCTGTGTTGTGTTTTGTACACTGCTGTTTGTGTTTTCGTCGTTTTTTGCCATGAAGTTGTTCGGGTGATAGGTGATTGATACCTTTTCGTTGTCGGGTCATTATCAGAAGCGTTTGCAATTGAGTCTTGAAATTCAGAAGAATAATGTCTTGAAATATATTTTTTTCTAACGTGGTAGCTCTTGTGACCATAACAAAGAGTTGATTGAAAATGCAACATTAATCTTAAATTTGAAAACACAAATGGTATTATGTCCCATTAGTGACACTTTTTAAAAACACATAATAAAATAACTTCCACAATCCAGCTACTAACAGGATGACACCACTAAATCCATTGGATGTTCGTTTGATTGATTGATATTTTCGTCTTAGATACATGATTTTTTTTAATTAGTTGTTATTGGCCTATAACGCAGTAACTGCGAGTACTTTCATATCTGTACTCCTTGTCTTTTGTGATATTGTTCGTTGTTTTTGCTTTGTATTGATCTAATGAGTTAACCTCTTTTCAACTAATTTTTATAGTTTGTTCTTATGTTGTGCTGTAACACCACTGTCCCAGATTAGTTGGAGGGTCGGACGCCCGTAAAGAATGTTTAACCCTGCCACATTCTGTATGTGTCTGTCCCAAGTCAAGAGCCTCTGCTTCAGTGGTTGTCGTTTGTTGCTGTATATCATATTTGATTTTTTTCATTGTTTTGTACAATTATCAGGCCGTTAGTTTTTTTTTGTTTTAATTGTTTTTCATTTGACATTTCGGGGTCATTTATAGCTGGCTTTGCGGTATGGGATTTGCTCCTTGTTGAAGGCCATTCGGTGACCTATAGATGATAACTTCTACGTCATTTTGTCTCTGATGGAGAATGATCTCATTGGTAATCATATCACATCTTCTTATTTTTATATACACGTGTAACATAAGTATGGTTAAAATGTGCTACTTACGCGAGGAAGTTAGCTAAGGAGGCTTCGACTGTTGGTTGAATACTGCCACTCAAGAAAAAACACCAAAAGATCAGAAACAACACTCATTCGTGTTAAGATGAACAAACATCAACCAATAAATATTCGCACATGTACTTTTTGGGAAAGTAATATGAATCGTTCTTAACAAGAAATCACAATTTGTATATGTTTTAAAACAGATAATTTTGTCAATTTAAAAAAAAACCTGTCAACTACATAACGATACACGTCAACTATATAAATGATATATGTCAACTAAATAAAGACACATGTCAACTACATAACGATACTTGTCAACTACAAATAGACACATTTCAACTACAAATATAAACATTTCAACTACAAATAGACACAAGTCATGTCAGCTATATAAAGACACATGTCAACTACAAAACCATACGTGAGATATCCGTAACGATAATTTTCATATACATGTATGTTATGAAGTGGAATATTACGTATTTGTAGTGAACGTTGGAATATGTTTCATGAATATATCTTTTATTACTACTTTGAACCTTCTTCATTGTCATAGAACTTGTGCATTATATTCATTTACAAAATGCAAAATATAATTATGGCACATGTTGTCATACATGTACATGTGAGCTTGACAATGTACAAAGTGGTCGAGTTTAATGTGTCATCAAAACATACCAATTTCAATCTTAAATTGGTTTCTGATAGTGCTGAAAAAAAAAAAAAAAGAATAGGAAGGACATTGTTAATCAAAACTAAAATTAAGTAGGTAGTAATTCTATATATTGTTTTATAGACAAAAATCCATTCATTTTGGTTAACAATATCCTTCGATACAAAATTTTACTGTTTCTTATTCTTAAACCGTGGATTGGCGAAAAAAAATAGTTGGTTAGCTTATATGTTGGCTAAAGTCTTTAAGCATACTTTTACTTGTAATTGGAAAATCATATTTGAAAATAAAACGTTGACTGAAAACAAGTAGTTTTTGAGGGATGTTTTATATTCTCGATAAAGAATAACGATCAAAACTATAAAAATACTGTTATTCAACATTTTCGTACCTCTGATACAGGCTTAAATAAAGATGATTATTTAAATATTTGAGAGTCAACATTTTGGTAAATTGAATGAACAGATTAATCATTCTTTAAATCCTAAAAATATATATTTTTAAAGATTCTAAAAAATCAGTACGGATCGCTCTGATTTTATTTATTATAGGTGCCGCATTTACAAAACGTTTTCACCTATCGATGTAGTTGTAAAAAAGGATGGTTATCTAAAACAATTTAGAAGTCAAGATTGAGGACAATTATCATTTAACTGGTTAATAAATAGATCAATACGCCTTCAGTCTATTAGTCAGGAACTGGTTACCATAACACAATATACTACAAATAAAAAGTTATGCTGTTAAATACTCTCTTCACTAAGATGATAATCTCAACTGACCTTTTAAGTTTACCATCTTCATCATGGGGTCCGGTGGCAGGTAAATTCAAATTTTAGATTTATTGATTTCAATATATGATGTATGTAATTTTGACATGGAAAATGAATGTATTTGATGTTTATCATTTTTGTATGTGTTTTTTAGAGTTAACAATATTCAATTACTTGTAGCTTTTACATTTTTACACATCGTTTAAAGTTTGATACAATTATATATATATAGATATCAAATGCGGATTTAGGGAGGGGGCAGGGACCCCGGGCCCCCTTATGAAGCTTCATATTTGATAAATGCATAGACTTATTACAAGTATCCCTCCTAACGTTGGCTTGTCAGCCCCCCTTTCAAAATCCTGGATCCGCGCCTGGATATCTACCGATTGCATATGCTGTTTATGAAATTCTATTTAGGCGAAAATGTATTTTATACTCATGATAGTTGACTTGTATTTCATATCGTTTTATAATCTGCCATTACTCTTTATAGTAACTCCTATTGTTAACTGTTTTACTATGTTGATATTTTTTGAGTAACAAGTGACGAGAGTACTGCCTGAAGACAAATTTATGATATTGATTGATAGCTTGCATATATCATCTATTTTCTTTTTCATTTTCTTTTAAACACAACTCTCTGTTTTCCCAAAATATATGCCCTTTTCCATTTGATTTCCCGCATCTCCTACATCATTATTACCTGTCGTTTAAGTTAAATGTCTTAAGTTTATACATTTCCATTAATTTCACAAATATTAAATACTAAGGAACGTTATATATACATACATATTTAGGAAGATCATTGTATGATAAACACTTGATGATTGTAAAATAAATAATGTTGATAACATAATTAATTTAAAGAGGTACCATTACCGACAAGCTTAATTTCGTTGATAGTCTTGACCTCAATCAGATTAAAAAAATATGTTAGGGAATCATGGTTTTTCTGAACTACTTATAGCATAACTCATGTAAATTCAACAATTAAGCAACCGAAAAGCAGTAGCATTAAATTTTGCACTAGAACGTGTCCAATAATAGACCCGACACCTGATAAAGTGTCAGATGCAACAGGGAATTATGCATCAGTAAATAAGTAATTTAACCAGAGTCCGACACTCTGCATCAGATTTGCAAGTGATTATGAAACTTATGCTAATTTGAAAAAAAAAACAAAGTTAAAAAAAAGTAACTGGAGGCGCTAAAGTCGTACAGCCAAATAAAATGTCGTTTCTCATTTGTGTCCTTTCCTTCTATTCCATATTAAGAATAACACGTCGTAATATATTAACGCAAATTTCATCGTCTTCGTCTGTCTGTGATCTCAAAGGATTCTTTTTTTCAGTAAAAGTGCTTCATACAATTATAAATTGACATACTTCAATGCGAGAGGACGAGGAGAAGTAGCTCGTTTGTGTTTTGCTGTTGCTGGTGTTAAGTATGAAGATATTCGTATTGAACAAGCTGATTGGCCAGCATTAAAACCAAGTAAGTTAACTCTGTCAAACCCGAAAATATATTGTATTTATTGAAGTGGCTGTAATATTTATTTTAAAGGAAAACTACCTTTCGATATTAACAACAACAAAAAACAAATGCATGAATAATACATGAATGCAAAACACTCGTAAAAGATACTAGGCTTATAATTGTGTACGCCAGACGCGCGTTTCGTCTACAAAAGACTCACTAATGACGCTCGAATCAAAAACGATAAAAGGCAAGATAAAGTACGAAGTTGAAGAGAACTGAAGACACAAAATTCTAAAAGATTTGCCAAATGCAGCAAAGGTAACCTATTCTTGGAGTAAACCATCCCTAGTATTTCAAACAAGGATAATTGTCAATGAGTTTGTAAGTCTTGAATATCCAATTATTTATAATTAGTTGTTACCAATGTTTCAATAGTTTCTATAAAAATTCAGATAGTAAAAATATAGTTGTTGCCTCGTTCTTTAACTTTTTTATTTAAGGTTACACGCCCATGCACGTGTCGTGTTATTGATATCGGCATCATCTATTATATCTTGTTTAAAGATTATCCGGTTTTCTGTACATTGACCTATAGCTGTGCAATGGAACCTATGGGAATGCAACCCGAGTATAAATCTCAATAACCGAAAATTATACCATAGATATCTATGGTATAATTTTCACAATTATACCATGGTTTTGTTGTATAGGGTCTTCGAGAAAAAGAAAGATAGCAAGACCTGGCTGCCTGAATTTTTTGACATTTGAACAACAGAGTCAATGCGGGGCCACTAGCTAAGCTAAACTGCCCGTTTTGCACCAGCCGATATAAATGAATGCCTTGGGTGGGAATTGAACCCACGTACACCAACTCTGTTGTCCTATATTTTTAAATGAACAAAAATCGCTCCTCGAACAAATAAACAAATAAAGTTTAAAAAGTATATAAATGTGTATATATTATGCTGGAAAATATAAGTTGATTTTTGGTTATTGAGATTTATACTTGGATTGTATTCCATAGGCTTCACTGTACAGCTACATGTATAGGTTTGGATTTGCTGAGGCAGCTTTTTGTGGAGAGGGCAGGGAGCAAGCCCATTTTAATGAGCTTCATATTTGGTAAATGCATAGACTTTTTCATTGTATTACTCCAAATATTGGCTTGCTAGATCCCCCTTTCACAATCCTGGACCCGCACCCGATTTGTTATACATTGCTGACATCTAGACTTTAACGAGGTTGCTCAAGTAATAACAATAATGTTGAAATGTTAAAATTAGATAGAGTCTGGTTTTTCTAAATGAAGATTACTTTTTGTGTAAATCATTGCTAGTCAACATGTGATTTTAATCATGAACTTTTGAAATCCCTTTTAATTAATGTACGACTTGAGCTTCAGTACAAATTAAAATGTGGAATGATTCATCCAAACTCTCAAAAAGTTTCTTGTGAAATTAATTTCCTCAGAATTATAAATGAATATTAAAAAATTGAAACATTCTAACATTTTGATAAAATAAAAAAACTAACCCTTTGCAGTTCAACTTTTAATCTGGGGTCTCTTGCGTCCATATCCAGAACATCTAATTCCTTTAACATTTGTTCGTCTGTAATGTTATCCGTCACCAATGCACATGTGCATCCATCGCTGTCGAAACATCTCGTCTTACTGATTTTCCCGCTGTTTCAGAAGCCCGTGCTTATTTTAAAAAGTAGGCGGAGCTTTATGTGTAACGCCCGAAAAGGGTTATTTAACTGATTCTTATCAAAACTATTTTTTAAAGTAAACCAACAAAAATATATGAAATATACAATTTTAAACAGCAAAAGATGCGATAGATTAAAACAGATATTCCATATTTTTTGGATAGTTTTGCGTCATTTCGTAAATTATACCATAGTTTTTTGTTGAACCCCCTCGGCAACCTCACTCGACTTCGTCTCGTTAGGTTATTGCCGGGGGTTTCAACAAAAGCTATGGTATAATTTACGAAACACCGCAAAACTATTCAAAAGATATGAAATATCTATAACTTAATATCGTAAAACATCAGCCGCGAGTCACAATGTTAACTTTTTTTTGGCGAGTGAGCGCAGAAAACGAGCAAAAGGGCTTCATATTGTGTCGAGCGGCTGATATTTTACTTTATTATACTTCATGTCAAAATGTCAGATTTCGATTGGTTAATACGAGGTAAATAATTTACTCTATCCCATGGCAAATATTCTATTCCCCTTCACGGAGACGCTCGATCAGTTGTGCGCTTTATTAAATACGGATGGTTTTTATTAAACTGGAATTAGCTTGTATAACGCTACACTCAAACAACAAAGTATTGTAGCCAGCCGAGAACCAGCTTAGGTTGTTATGTACAAGACGCTATAGTTTATTACTTTTAATTTGAAGTTAAATAGGCAGTAATAACAGAACATTCAGCGTAATAAATCAAATAACACATAGCTGATTGGGTGATAGAGCAGATTGTTACCCCTCGAAAAGACATTGTCAACCTTGGCGTCGCCTCTCATCGCTGTACGTAATAAAGCGTAAAGGTCAACAGAGTAGCTATACTCCTAAACCCAATATTCAAAGCAGCTAGTTATTTGGTACTTATCTGCAAATTTTAATCTAATACATTGACGACAACAGCTGACTCTGGTTTATGAATATAGCCACATCAATTCAAATAAGGGAGTCACACAAGGCGATGAAATCTGTTATACAATGTAAATGATTCAGTTTCATTTTTTTTTTCAGAGACTCCCCTAGGATTTTTACCTGTTTTAAACATAAATGGGAATGAATTGACACAAAAGTTGGTGATCGACAGATTTCTTGCAGGACAATTCGGTAGGTCACTTATTTATGTATCATTCCGTATAAATCTTTTTTTCTTAGCCCTTTTTGGGAAGAGTTCTGCCTATCCCTCGTTTGTCGAAGTGATAAATGCATCATTTTGTAAATTTATGATCGACAGATTTCTTGCAGGACAATTCGGTAGGTCACTTATTTATGTATCATTCCGTATAAATCTTTTTTTCTTAGCCCTTTTTGGGAAGAGTTCTGCCTATCCCTCGTTTGTCGAAGTGATAAATGCATCATTTTGTAAATTGGATACATTCTACTAATCCTTCACCATATTCAGATATACGGATGAGATATCTTTTCAAAAACAAATGAATTCTATTATTCACTTTTTATCTTTGAACACATTAACCTTGGAAAATGAGCATTGTGAGCTAGCATGCGACACGTAAGCCAGTATTTAGCTTATCAACAGAAAGAGTACCGTATTAACTTCATGTATAAATTTCCTACAATTTTTTTTACTTATTTCAATTAGGTGCATTAAAGGAAGATAAAACGACTTCGGCTGTCGTCTGCTCTATGGTCGGGTTGTTGTCTCTTTGACACATTCCCCATTTCCATTCTCAATTTTTTATATAGTTAACATTTTTTCGTATGATCTATTATAAATGTGATATGAATTTGGCGGCTTGAATGTACGGGAACTTTTGGTATGAGTTAATTAAATTTTTAGATTTTATACCTTATACCTTCCATTTTTCTATGAAAGTATTCTCTACATACATGTATACTACATACATGTATACATGTATGTACGATTTTCTTGCGTACAGGCTTCCATAATTACTTGATTAACTTAAATAATTGAAAAAAAACTAAGTAATATTTGATTATGAAACAGGTCTGCTTGGTAGTTCTGACCTTGAACGATGTAAGATAGATGAAGTAATGACGACGATAACAGACTTTACAGTGGATCTTTCTGGAACGTTTTTTATTCAAGAGGAGGACGCAAAGGTAAACTCTTATTTCCAAAATTTATGTGTGTGACACATTAATCTAACACATAAAAAACTTATGTGTGTGACACATTAAACTAACACATTAAATGTAAAATATAAGAAAACGATCCTAAGCTGACTTTGTTCAATTATTCAAAATTAGTTTAAAGAAAACAAAAACAAACAGTTATTACTAAAACGAACAATGTAGAACAAAAGACCATAAAGGAAGGAAAAAAGAAAATGTTAAACAAAACCTTTAACTTTTCAACTTGAATAGTGAAATATGAACTATTTCATCATTCATTATTCATTACTAAAGGTTGAATAATGAATAATGAACTATTTCATTATTCATTATTGAATTTTGAATAATGAAAAATGAATAATGGACGTACTTCAGTGCGGTATTGTTCGTCGGAATGTATCGATATGCCACATACAGTTTATACTGAAAAAAAGTAATTAAAAGATAATAGATTCATATATTTTTCAATGTATTGCAGGCTACTGCTGTGAAAAATATTCTGGATACAAAACTTCCCGCCATGATGGCGTACATTGAGAAGACGATGAATGAGAATAAAACACAGAGCGGTTACGTTGTAGGAGGAAAAGTATGTATATCACTGCTGAAATAATCAATTATTTTTAAAACAAATTGAATACTTTAGATTTTCAGTATTAAGTATCTGAAAATCTTGATAATAAAACTATTACAGGTGCCATGATGTTTTTTCGCAACATATTTTTTATTTCAAAATGTTACACCTTACGAGGACGACAAGAACATATCATCCTTAAACATAAATAATATTTCAAAGCCAACGATGTCTAGATGCATTTATATTTAGTGACATTGGACCGGTGGTTTGCAATTCGATGCTGGCTTGGAGTACTGTAAGACAAATATTCGTTTTTTTTAATGCGATCCTCTTAATATGAAACTGTTTTATTTTTTTAGCAAGATTTAGCTTTCTTTGGTCATGTTGGTTATATCATAGATGTGTTGTGTATGTTACACTATATAATTGTGTGTACATATCTGATTAGGATTTTCAAAGATTGTTCATTTGTTTGTCCTTTAAACACTTAAGTTACTCTATTCATTTTTTTCTATTTTCGAAACTATCTATAATCACGCGCAGAGATTTTCAAAACTGCACTACAAGTATGTAGAAACTATGAGGACTATTGGTTTCAGTAGCGCACCGTTTTATAACATACAGTTTTATATATTCTTTTAAGTTTTAAACTTGATCAGGTAAAATAGACCAGCACCGTTTTGAGTTCCTCTCTTTTACCAAAATATATAGTTTGTACATTTGCATATGATGCCGCTACAAAAAGCTATGTCTGTAATAATTTTATTTTTCAAAAGAGTCAGAGCGCTGAACATTCTTTACTCAACATTCGAATTGACAATGAATAACATGGGTTACAATGTAGGTTAACTACAAATATCAATTTTTGATGTAAATTTTGTTTCTTATTAATTTTTCAATAATTTCAACCTAAAGCCGTTTATTTTCAAGTCCAGATTTGCAATGTTTGAGGAACACTTCTTCTATTTTGCGTCCAAGCTGATAACCGACCATAACTGTTATAGTTTATGTTGTTCAATGGAAAATATTTCATGCATATTCAGGACCAGACGAAACATAGCGGACAGCTTAAATAGTATTTAAAGCAGTGCTACACATCTGAATACTGCTGATTGAACACATAGCAGGACTTTCTTGTACTTGACTATATTTACTGTTAACATGTCTATTTATTTTCTATACAATACTGGTACAGATTAATAATATTTTTACTTTTTGTTTCAGTTATCTGTGGCAGATTTAACCGTTTTCAACTGTCTAGAGACTCTTACAAATGTTTCACCTACGGCCCTAGACGAATACACCAGAATACGAGATCTTAATACAAAGATTGGAATTATTAGCAGCATTGCAAAATATGTGGCAAGTCGGCCGAAAACACCGATTTAATATATTTGTTCTTTTAACAATTGACGATTTTCTAAATCAGCATAATTAAAGTTAATCCATAGACTTCTCTGTTAATAATTTCTTAAATGATGTTTTATTTGTCGTTTTATTTTACCGAATGCGTCCTATTCCCGATTGTGAAATTTTGACTAAGTGTTGATTCGCATGGCGGGTGACGCATGCGTAGCAGGAGACGCTTACCCCGTAGACGCGCACACTCGCACTCCTTTTTGATTTCATTTTATTCTGTCAGGTTTGTCTTCTTAACAGATTTATGAGATTTGAACAACGGTAAATGACTGTTGCCTTAATTGAATATACTAGCATTTTTTTTCAGCAGTCCTTACTTCATCTAACATCTGAAATGACAAACGAGTTTTGTGTGAAAATCAATAGCACATTTGACCTCACGTTTGCAGACAGTTTGAATTTGTTTGTTCATTTACATAACACAGCACAAAACACACGCACGAAGAAAGGTACATTTTGTACAAAACACGTTTAATAGAAAAGATAGAACAATTATTTAGCTGCTGTGCAAGGGTTCAAATTGTCATTTATTTACTTGTTATATAATTCTGCATGTTGTCAAACATTATTGGTATCATATATTATCTGCTTTCGTTATATAAATTATACACAAAGTACAGTACTTACAATAGTTACTAGATACAACTTCAAAGATTTGATTCGGAAGTATGGCTGTATTTGTAGAAACCTTATTACAATAGGATGTCACATCCTAATGTTTACGGTGATGTTGTTTAAAAAACCGGTAACTTTAGGTACGATCAATGTAAACTTATTTGTCATTTGAAAGCATTTGATCTGGAAGGTTATAAATTTACCATTGTAGTAAGATCTTTGAAAGTTGTTTTAAATGGTTCAAACAGTGATTAAAACATAACCAAATATGATTTGTTATACAGTAATGAACATTTATGGTCCTACATCCTGCTGATACTAACATATATATGTTGCCGTTGTACATGGTCATGCTTTTCTTGTACTGCTAATGACGTCTTTACGCTCAAATTGTTGGATGTAAACTGATAAATATTTTAATTCTAGGTAACCAAGGTTTATCTATTAATTGAAATTAGTTTTAAGCTAGCTTTCAGTTTGGTGACTGTCCTGTTGGCTTATATCACACATTTCCTTTATCTATAAATAACAAAATAAATATACAGAATGTTAACTTTTGATGCCTTTGACAGCCACCAAACAAGACAAAAATACAATTTTTGTCAAACTCTGAAAACACTTAGAAAATAAGTTGTGAATTAATTAAACAAAGGCTAATAAAGATCTGCCATCTATACCAAATTTTCTGAATGGAAAAAAAAAACCCATTAATATTACAAAGTATATCTGCTGACGAGGTTCTTCACTTTAAGTACTTGTCAGGTACACAAAGGTGTGGCAAATGACATATTTTTTAAAATCTCAACCCTCAAGTTTTGAAGAATTGAATACATTTCTCTACAATGCATTGTTATGCTTTCAAATAACACCATAACGGTACATGTAACAAGTTTAACGTACTATATTGCAACATGTGGTGTTAACTAGTATGAGTTTTGAGATAGCAACCTAACAAATTTAAAATGAATTGAAAGGGCTCGTCAACAAATGTATAAGAACTGTTTTTGTCACTTGCAGTATATCATTATCTCCTAAGGACAACAAACCTCAACAAAAGCACAATAAACCGATAAATATCGAAATTAAAATCATCTATATCAGATTATCCTTTAAAAAAAATCATGCAACACCTTTCTAGAGTAGTTTGACCATTAGATAGCACAATGTTATGCTTTCAAATAACACCATAACGGTACATGTAACAAGTTTAACGTACTATATTGCAACATGTGGTGTTAAATAGTATGAGTTTTGAGATAACAACCTAACAAATTTAAAATGAATTGAAAGGGATCGCCAACAAATGTATTAGAACTGTAATTGTCACTTGCAGTACTAGTATATCATTATCTCCTTAGGACAACAAATTTGTCCTGTACCAAGTCAGGAATATAGTTCATTTCTATGAATGTTGCATTGTTGTTTGTTTTTTGTTGCACTTCTGTGTTCTGTTATTTCGTTGTTTTCCTCTTATAGTTGATGTGTTTCCCACGGTTTTAGTTTGTAACTTGGATTTGTTTTCTCTCAATCGATTTATGACTTTTGAAAAGCGGTATACTACTGTTGCCTTTATTTATACTATTTTGTTCGAAGACAAGTTTGACCTGACGTTATCGCTGTTAGCTTTAAAATATTAACATGGTTACAAATTGTTTTGGGTTAAGAAACTCTCCATACAATAAAAGGACTGCCAGTTTCCAGGCATATGTCAATACTGGAAAACATACATACATATGTCAATACAGGGAAATTACATGATATATCAAAGGTAGCCACTGGAAAAACAAAGCTTCTAACTCTGTTCATGGCAGCTATTTTACGATATCTTTATGTACACGGAAGTCATTCGACAAATCGAAACACATGATGGTGAAAAAATAAGTGACGTTGGTCAAGGATTAATTGTGATCGGATCGTTAAGATCATTAAGATCTGGATAGTAAAGGCAGTTTTAAAATACAATCTGTGAACTAGTTTAAAATATCGAGCTATAAAATAAAAAAAAAAAAAAAAACACACAGTACTTTCAAGAAACACAAAAAGAAACACATCGCTCTATCATGTCTATGCTAATTATTAAATAAGGAAAGAAAAAACTCGTTTTACAATCGACCTTGGTCACATTTCAATAGATATATGTATTGTGCTACGTTTGAATCTTAAAGGTTCACATGTCAGATCGTATAGTTAAGTGTAATTGGTTTTTTTTCTGGAAACGGTTCAGATTATTTTAGAACAAGTATAATTTTGTTTTTTTTAGCATAATTAATCGGACAACTCATTGTTTTGATTATGATGGGCATAGCAAGAAACGCTTATCCCGTCGAGACACGGTCTCGTTTCGTTTGGAGATAATGCTATTCGTTTATTCTTGGTTTAACTCGAACACTAATAGTCAATTCCTTTATGATAAGTATGCAGCAACTGGAAATATGAGCAAAACATTACTGGCAGTGATTTTGAAATACTAATAGACTTGACAAATGTATTGCATTCATGGTCAGATACCAGGACTTTCATGATCCGATCGCTCCACTTGACTACTGTATCTGACTGTTTCTGGATAATTTATCTCGATATATCGAATGGCAATTGTAACATGAATAAAGAGACGTTGAGCTCACATCAACGAGACAGTAGCCCTTATATACTATAAACGTAAGACCAGAATAGATGTTTACTGTGACGACATTAAATGGTCCTTTTTGGCGTTGCAATGGGTAAACGGTGTTAACCTAAATAAATGCATGTATGACATTGTATGCTTGATATATTATAGAAGAGAAGCATCCCACTTTAATGTATGCGTATGATATGTCTGTTTATTCAATAATTTAAGTTTGTTCATTAGTCGATTCAAGAAAGATCCAAATTTTACACAGCAATTTCTTCATATAAAAATAAAAAGATGTAGTGTGATAGTTCCATGTGTTTCATATGTCCATTCAGAAACAATGTAAGCTTTCGTCATAAAATATGCAGCCCTCTCCTCCTCCTTCACCGTTCATAGCGCCTGAAAAAGATAGAAAATATCTTTTGTGAGAAGTGAAGATTTCAATTCTGAATCACAGAAGATGAATGACTCCTATGACGAATGTTGTAGTGGGTAGAGAGTTATGATATCAGTTTTATTGTTATAATTAAATTGTCGTCATGAAAAAGGTAGAACCAATTTTCCCTGAATTTACGTCACGCCAGGGCCGTTACAAAAAGTATTCACTCCGATTCAAACAAAAAGTGTATTGAAATGATATTATGAAGACGTTTGAACTTTTTTTTATTAACATCATGTTTGTTGTCTGGTAGACGTCTTTGCTTAAGAAAGTCGGCATCCGTTTAGGAACCAACTATGCTTTTCCCTTCATCGGCTCGTTTCGAAATTCACATGAGGCATACTCCATGCAGAAGCTTCTTGAATTGCAAATTTGAAGCATTACCCTTAACGTCGCGTTCAAACGTAGAGATGATACATTGTCACTGGATTATTTAAACTTTTAATCTTTATGCTTATCCAATCCATCTTTTTTAACACAAAAATATAAGAATACCTTAGGTACAGTAAGGGTCTAAAGTTTCTTTATATGTACATACATGCCTCGGACAAAAAAAAAACCGCCCATGACAACTTTGTTTGTTGTTCAACACCTGGGATGTGACAGTCAATGTACGACTGTGCCAAAATTTATTGGTTTGAAACAAACAAAATATGTGCACTGTGAAAACGTGTTTGTCTTTGATAATCTGGTAAATAGTTGTGACAACCATTTTCAACTGTGAGAACGCTAATTTTGTTGTAGCAAACACAATATAATAAAATAAGGGTTTTATCAGATCATTTTCGACTTATGATTTTGACTATATCTTTGGTATCTTCAGCATACTTATAAATGTTAAAGTTATAACAGATGCTGCCAGTTATTCTTTCTCCTTTGATGTTGTTATATAAATTTACTATTATAAAAAGACTGTCACAGCAAGAATAACCATATTTTTGGTGTATTTGTTGTCGCAGACAAATATTCCACCCTCTTTTCCTAGTATTTCATTATCCCAAAAAGCCACTTATAAGCAGCTTATGACGCGTCATAAGCAACATGACGGTCAGACTAACATTAGGGTAAGATTATGGAATCAGAAAATGCATACATTACCGGAACAGCTCTGTTAACTCCCGGTTTTTCGCGGTGTTCTTGTTTCACTATGCGGAAGATTTTTATGGGTACTTTTTTGGTTGTCCTTCCAGTTTTTGATCAATGACATTGTCTGTCCGTCCTTCTGCGTTCTCAAACATTTGATTTTGATTTTGATTTTTTTTTTAATTATTTAGATTTAAAAAAAAATTTTAATTGTATTTTTCCTTTATCAAATCTGTTACTTTTTTTGTAAACCTATATTTGTGATTCAAATGCCAAAATAAA